TGCATAGTCAGTTTGAATAATGCAACATTCGTCTGGACAGTACGGCTTACTTGAATTTCCCTCAATAGGGAAAAAAATCTCGATGACTTCGCTGCGCCTGTCCAAGCTGCCCTGATTGTAAATTGCTTCTATCATCAGCCCCTCCACAACTTCACCTTCACCTTGGTGAAGTAAGGAAAGATACGCGACCAAGTTTAGTGAGCCAACATCTATCGACTGAGATTTCGTATATTCCGCAAGTCTCTCCTCTAGTGATTTGCGCAAAACCTGACAGAATGCACAACCGAGCTGAGCAGAACGAGATAGATGAGGCATGTCAGGAAGAATCTCGTCGAGTTTCCAATCGAGGCGAACCAGTCGACAGTTGGGGTTCCAAATTTCTATTGTCCACAACCTACGACGCGTTTCGACTTTAGACTCAGGAAAGGATAGTCGTGCAACGCCATCTCCGCCGATTACTTCCTGGCCTCCAATAGCACCATCGTCAAAGCTGAGAAGGCTGCAGCGCTCGCAGAGCATGTCGGACTTTGGTGTATCGCTCATTGGATCGGCCGTCGTGAACTCCGCCAGAAGGTAGGCATACAATCAGGAAGTAGAAAGAAGGTGAATGAGCAGGATGTACTCTGATTCAGAGATGATCTGGTCAGACGGAACGTTAAAAGCGAAGAGGAGAGGAGCCTAGTGGTTGGTACTGGCACCCAGGTGGTGCTGCGGTGAGGCAGCTGAGCGTTCTTTATAAGACTACCTAGGTAGCCTTACCAGAGGGGCAGTGGCGGCAGTGCAGGTGAGATGATGTCATGATCAGGCTGAACTTCTTCCCCAGCCAGTAAATATGGCAGGCACCGATCAGAATAATAAGCTAGAACGGTTTGAGCACTCTGTACGACCCTGTTATCATCTAATACTTCTAACAAGATTTGTCAGGGTCAAGATGTAGGGCGAAGTATTAATCACGGCTATTGCAACCGTATAGCTACAACATGCCCAGGGATCAACACACTCTTGCAAGCAGATGCCGATAAGCCCTGGAAACAAAAGAGACATCTACCATTCATGAAAGTTGTTTCAAGCTAGTGATCAGTGGCGTATACCGGAGGCCCGTTTCGACAAGGCGCCGAGGTTGCATGTTCCGGGCTTCGCGCTCGAGCTTCAAGTTTTCGCGGGGGACTTTGGGTGTGCACATTGGTGGAGGCGCTGAGGATGCACACTCACACTTGAAGTTGGTATGAAAGCAGAGTCGAAAAGTCGCCGGGTAGACAAACCAAATGGAAAGAGAAGGGCGCGCTTGAGAAATGTAAATAAAGTTGATTCTATCTTGCATGGGTATATAAGTGTAAATGCCAAAAAATCGCGATCCTCCGTTGTCGTGTCGTATATCGTATAACCAGTGAGATCCCCGTTTACCATCTCATGACCCATCATATCATGACCATGTTCCCTGAACAACCAAAACCTCAAATGCCAAAAATCCAAAGATTACTGACAGCCATCTCACCATCTCATCACGTCATACACAACATCTCCTCCCACCCCACCGTCCACCTCACACTCCCCATAACCACAACCAACAACCCCACTCCGGCCGCCACACTCGCACCCGCATAAACATACGCACTCCTCCTCCTCTTCGCCGTATCAATCTCCACAATCCACGTGCTAACTGTCGTTAGACAGCCACAGAACCCATCTTGAATCCCCTGGAGTACCGCACAGCCCACCACACTACCTCCAACCAACCCCGTACTGCTGAGAGGCACATGCTGGAGGTCGTATGCCATGCCCAACACCGCCGTACCGAAGATATTGACGGTGAAAGTGCCGAGTGGGAAGGAGGGTGCAATGGGATTGAGGAAGAGGGAGATGTAGTAGCGGAGGAGACAGCCTGCGGGGGCGAAGACGCATGCGAAGAGGGCTTGGCTGCGCCATGTTGAGTAGGGAGGGAGACACACCATGATGATTGCGCCGAACCATACGCCCCAGCCCAGGATGACAAAAATGGGATCGCAGACACGGCGGGTGAAACGGAAGGGTAGGCTGGGTGTGAAGCGGTCGAGTGCGAGAGCGAGGTGTGCGCCGATGTGGAGGGCGCAGTAACACGTTGCTATTGTTATTATGATGGTGGCTAGGATGGCCATGACGGAGTATCCGCCGTTTCGCGGGACTGTGGTTGTCACAGACGGTGTAGATGTACCTGCAGGATAGGGATGATTGATAGGACTTTTCAAGTCATTCGACAGCGCGAGGAAGATGTCGCGCATGAAACTCGAGAAACTGGTGAACGAGCCGCAGAACCCTGTTGCAAGACCAATGTACACCGGTATCGTCTTCTTGATCTTCCCATGTCGCGCCTTGTGTTGCGAATGTTCGATATCGTTGGCAGGATAATCGGTTGGTTCGGGGAGTTTCTCTTCACCATCATTACTATCACTGCGACTCCCCCATTCGGCAGCGAAGAGACGGCGGTCTTCGGATAGGAAGCCCATTATGAATGTGCCAGCGACATTGGCCCAGAGCTCAGAGAATATGACTGGCGCGCCGGGGTAGAATGTCAGGGCCTGTAGACCCAGACGAGCTAGCGTGCCCCATATGGAGAAGAAAATGAGGTAGGAGATGGTGTACAGTTCCGTGGCACATCTTGATGCTTTTTGCTGCCCAGGGGTGCGCTTGGAGCGCAGGTAGTGCTCTGCGTCGGTGTGGTGATCGTCGTAGCGGTGGGAGCGATCATGCCCATCTTCTTGGACAGGCGACATGCTGGGCAGGGCCGTAATGTCCAGCTGAGACCCTGATGCAGCACCGGGCGCTACTCGTCCGAGTGGAAAAGAGGGTCTTCTCGCTCGGTGTGGATGTGTTTGAGATGCCGGACTACCACCACCAGTATTCTCCCTCTGCGACGCCCTACTCTGCGCTCGCGTTCTGGGTGTGCGCAATGGCGTGGGAAGGTTGGGCGAATGCGCGTTGTCGTTGTAGAGATGGAGCCAGGAGTCTGCTCCTAGGAGGTCGTCGTCGTGCTTGCTCTCGCCGGCTCGTGAGGAAACTGTGCTGAGCGAGCGGTGCTTCCCGGCGTTTTTGTCCCACCGCTTCACGCTGCTGTACGAGTGATTCCGCTGTCGCGTATACGGCACATTGGGTGCAGGCGAGGCGGTCGAGGTAGGCGAGGGCAATGGCTCGCTATCCGCGTGCTCCGAGTGGACTCTCTCGAGGTCGAGGTTGAAGTCGTGCAGGCGGCGCAGGTCGCTGCGGGTTCTTGATCGCGGTTCCGGGCGGTGCGCTGACTCTTCGGAGAGCGTGGAAGAACGCAGCGACGAGCGCTGGTTGTTGAAATGCGACTCGCGCTTGGTGGGGACATCGTCGTCGTCGAGAGCAGCGTTGGCCATAGCTGCCGTCCTGGTCCCGTTTGTGCATGCAGCTTCGATGTGCAATGACGTGCGGGATCCAAGATGAGCAGGCACCCGTAACTTTGTAGTGTATAATTTCAGCTCAAGACGCCGTGTGCAACTTGGAGTAACGCGCCATCATGCTGCTTTCTATGATGCCGGGACAAAAGTGGCGATGCCCGAGAATAAGACAGCACACGTATATCAGCCCTCGTTCGCGTCTCTCCTCCCTCCTGCGCCAAATAAGAAAAGGTCAAATCTCAGTAACCTTTGCTTATGCAAATAATGGGACGAATGGCGCGCGCTTCCTTTTTCTCCGATTGGCAGGGGCTCCCCAGTCTAGCGGCACTGCACCTGCCGAGGCGTGACAAGGTTTCGTGTCACGGAGGCGCCCGACGCCATGGCATCTGTTATCGCCGGCATGTGGGGAGCTAGGCGTGACCACGCGCTTGTCTCATGCACCTTCTTGAATGGACAGTAGGTGTCAAGTTGAACACCGACTATATATTCCAGAATACCAAGACCTGCAATACTACTGTATCTTCTCTACGTAATTACACTGCGAATCCAACATGTCTGGCATCAACTTCCCCAAGAACGCCCACGTCTCAACACACCCATGTCTCCAGGCGAAGCTCTCACAGCTCCGATCCGCGAGCACAGGGTCCAAGGATGCGCAGACCCTGGTGCATGAACTCGCTCTCATGGTCGGCTATGAAGCTCTGGCCGCTGGCCTAAAGGCACAAGAGGCAGGCACGGTACGCTCACCCATTCCATCACATTTACATTCACCCGGTCACATCATGTCACAAAGTGGGGTGTATGCCACGACATATACTCATAGAAGGATTCCCACATCCCCAAATCACCCCCCAACAACCATAGCAGCAATGCTATACCATACCATACCATACCACCTACTAACATGCCGTCTATAGGACAAATCCCCGCTCGGCTACGAATACACCACAACCACCACCTCCCCCACACCGACGTCCATATCGCTCGTCCCCATCCTCCGCTCCGGCCTCTCCATGGTCCCCGCGCTCTCCTCCCTCCTCCCCATGCCCGTACCCGTCCACCACCTCGGTCTCTACCGCGAGAAATCCACCTTACAACCCGTAGAATACTACAACAACCTGCCCTACCACACCCCGCACGCAGCTGGCTCAACCAAGCCCCAACCAGAACTCGCCATTATTGTAGACCCCATCATCGCGACGGGTGCGACGGCACAAGCGGCGATTGACACGCTGAAGGACTGGGGTGTGAAGAGGATTATCGTTGTTGCTATTCTGGCGACGGAGGAGGGGCTACAGAAGGCGTGTGGGGAGTGGGAGGAGGGCGTTGAGGTGTGGGTTGGTGGCTGCGATAAGGGGGTTGATGAGAAGGGCATGATTAAGCCCGGGCTGGGCGATATTGGCGACAGGCTGTTTTTGACGTTGGGAAAATAAGTAAATAAGGGGATATGAATCATGATTGAATGTGATATGGAGCAACTATGGCGAATGCATGCATTCTACAATGTGTTCTGTGGGTCCCTCAATTGGGTTTCCTCTTCTGCATCATTGATTTGGAGTAAATCAAGGCTTCGGAAATGTTGCTCAAGCGCCAGGTTCCATTGAATCAGCGAGGCCCAGGGCGGTTAGGGTTCAGGACCTTGAACATCAGAACATACGCCGTATCATCTGTGTTCAGCTGATGATCGCGCCAGAGCCAATCCCAGTGAACGGAAGACTGGTGTGGTATGCTTTGGGCGACAGTCCAGGCATCTTGTTCAACGCCCAAATCGAAGTCACACATGATGTGGCCTATCCCGGCGGTCATTTGCTGAAGTAGAACTGGGAACCTTTCGTAGAAGTAACCGCGACGGCGTCGCTTTGCAAACCACTCTATTTGCGAAGCTTCCGAGTCTTTGGGCTTGAACGTCAAGTCCATGGCCATCTGCCACGCGGCATCGTGTTGTATAACGTTGTTGAACATGTTGTGCGCAAGCTTGGGATACACAGCTGTGTCTCCTTTGAATACTAGAGTGCATGCACCGGGCGGCATGCCGAGCGATTCCAAGGCGTCATCCTCTATGATCCAGGGTGCGATAGCTTTCGTCACGGACTGGGCTTCTGGTAATACATGAGCTGTGAACCAGTCGTGGAATGAAGGTGGGCTCCAGTTTGGCCAGATCCTCCGGTTACGTTTAGGCTTCGTTTTGCGCTCCTGGCTGCCTTTTCGCACATAAACTCGTCTCTCGTCACGCCAAGGGTATGAATGGTGGGAAGTAGAAGCAGTTTTCCAGATACTGACGTGTCGTTCGATGCGGAGTTTTGGCATATCGATGCAGAATGGTATGAAGCCTCGCATGTGGCACTCCGGATGCGCGATGGAAGTCCGGTTTTCAACAAGGCGGAGACGTTGGATCTGCTTCCGCAGGCCCTGGGGCAGGAAATTGAGGAATCGTATTGCGATGGCTGCGGCCGAGAATGGGTACCTAATGGTATTGGGGTAATCGGTATTCTCCGTAGGAGATCCAGAGATAGACACGGAGTCCATGGAGCCTTTGTTGCGAGGGATCGTCCAAAGTCTTGACTGTAGATTGGTGAGATCCAAGAGGTTGCGAGCTGGTATTTGAGCGCCTGATGGTATCCGCAAGATGTCCATCCACTCTATGTCGTCGTGCGCGAACTCGGGATGCTTTGCGAGCACAGTCAATGTGTGATGGATGAAGTCGCGGTAGATCGATGGAGCTTCTCCCCAGTCATGACCTTTGGAGAACCATGTTTCATCGCGGTTCGAGCGCCAGGCAGAGAGTATGGGCTGAAACTGGGGATAGCATGCAGCTATCTCTTCTTCCGCGGCCTCCGTCAGAAACCCACGGGCCAGTCTGTCGACGACATCCTCCTTGTAAAGTAGGATGTGGCCAATGTCATCGACCCACTGATCGTCACTCTCGCGTGGCGTGTGCACGAAAGCAGCATGGAAAGTCAGATTGACTTCGAATGCGCGACAAAGTAGCTCCTCCAAGATGGTATGACAAGTGAATCCAAGAGACATGTCGTTAGATTCCTGGTTGATGATGGTAAACTTGTGTGCCTTTGCGTCGTATGTGGATTCTGTATCCGGGAGGTAGAGCTCGTATACGATATCTCGGAGTTCTCGTGGTAGATCCATGAAGGATAGATTGAGTCTTTCTGATTCGGTAGCGGCATCCTGATCTGGCGGTACAGTGGGAGAGGATGGGATATTGATATTCTTGACGATGAACATCCAGGCCAGAGCTGAAGATTCATCGAAGGCCATTGTGGTTTCGCCCGTGTGTGGGATATGAATGGGAGTCCAGGTGAATGCTCGAAGACTATGACGAAGCCAGGGATTTATACATTGAGAATTGTTCCAAAGACACGTTGATCTAGTAACTGTGGCCAGAAGACATCCAGGTCGCAGCATGCAACGGTGTTATCACGCTTCGGTTGGGAGTGCTGCCTGGGAATATCCGCAGCTCGTGACCAGACATCCAGCGTATCATTGCGGCTTCTTGTTTAGCTCGAAGTACAATTCCCAGTGGTTTTTACACCCAGGATTGAATGCGCTTCCGCATTGTGTGCATTTGCTTCCGCTGTCCATGTATTCGGTAACGGTCAGTACATGCTTGCACTTCCCGCAAAGCACTGCGCTTTCATCTCTTCGTGTGTAAGGCCAGATATCACACCCATGAGACTCGCATGCATCGTGGCAACTGATACATGCGTAGAACTTCTGGCAGCAGAAATGCTTGATGGCGATGATGTCAAGCGGGGAGTGCCAATGGGAGCATTGCGTTAGCGGTGTGACCGACAAGCCGTGAACAGTGGGAGAGTCTTGCGTTTCGGATGACATTAGGGTACCGGCAATGGTCGTGTGGTGGAATGCGGTGTTAAGGCCGTGCATGTAAAGGATTTCGGCCGGCTGTGAGGCTGAAAGCTAACGAGCGCTGCGGGATGATCAAGTGGGTGACCCCACTCTTTCGTCATCGCTTCATCCAGTCGGAAACACCAAGTAGGTGATGGACACTGTAACCCGTCTTTCTCTTCTCGACACATGTAGATTTGAAGCATACATCATTAGATGTAAATGCCGCAGTGCAACGGCATGGTTTCCGTAGCTGCCTGGCATCGGGTCCCACAGGATGTATAATGAAACGTCGCGACACTTGCCAATTCGCTGAAGAGATTTCCTATTGGATCACCGTCCCCATTGTTTTTCAGTAATGCTTCGCTCAAGCCCGAGTTTTGCCGGATGCTGTTACTGTACAGCACAGCTCAGAGCCCTCAGACGTCACTAGCCCCGCGTCACCCCACTAAGCTGTAAGAAGTGCGTGCTGCTCTTGCTCAACAACAACAACATTCCGTGCCTTCCTCATTCACGACACTCAATCACTATCCCACACCCTTATACCCTAACGTAACATATTTTCACGCAAACACAATCAATCCAACCGCAAACATGGCTCGTCAATTCTTCGTCGGCGGCAACTACAAGATGTGGGTACTTTCACAAGCTGTGAGTGCTTGGAGAAGATGAAGAGAAGCTGACAAGTCTAAAGGAATGGCGACATTCAGACCATCAAGTCGCTCGTCGAGAACCTCAACAAGGCCCAGCTCGATCAGAACACAGGTACGTCGAAACATATTTCCAGCGATCCGAGAGAAGCGCAGAACTTTATCACACCACGAAAAGGACGGAACACTGACATTAGAGACAGAGGTTGTCATCGCACCACCAGCGCTCTACCTCCTCCTCGCACGCGAGCACCTCCGCAAGGGCATCGAGGTCGCGGCGCAAAACGTCTTCGACAAGCCTAACGGTGCCTTCACCGGCGAGATCTCGGCTCAACAACTCAAGGACAGCGGTATCACCTGGGCTATCCTTGGTCACTCTGAGCGTCGCCAGATCCTACAAGAGACTGACGACTTCGTCGCCAGCAAGACAAAGACTGCCATCGACAACGGTCTCAGTGTAATCCTCTGCTGCGGTGAGAGCCTGGAGCAGCGCGAGGCGGGCGAGACCGTCAACGTTGTCACCAAGCAGCTGAAGGCTGTCGCGGACAAGGTCAAGGACTGGAGCAAGATTGTCGTTGCCTACGAGCCCATCTGGTGCGTCAAGGTTATAAAGATAATTTTCATGTTCAATCACTAACGTAGAACAGGGCCATCGGTACCGGCAAGGTCGCAACCACCGAGCAAGCACAAGAAGTCCACGCCGCCCTCCGTGAGTGGCTCAAGAAGGAGGTCTCTGCCGAGGCTGCCGAGAAGACCCGTATCCTGTACGGTGGCAGTGTCTCAGAGAAGAACTGCGCGGAGCTTGCCAAGCAGGCCGACATTGACGGTTTCCTTGTCGGCGGTGCTAGCTTGAAGCCTGCCTTCGTTGACATCATCAACGCCAACCAGGCATGAATGCCTCGAAGCGATGCTCGTCTATAAATGATTGGAGCTTGCTTCGAGAGCGAATGGTTATGATCTTATGAAGTAAAAGAAGACTTGGCTAGGACCTATGTAGATTCAGCAAAATGAACGTGCATGAAGATCATCGCTTTGGGCTCTGCAAGTTTCGTGAACCTTGTGTTTTTGATACATTGTTTGTACAGCGTTTATGAACTCCCCAGGCAGTGTATGTCGTTCACATCCTCTTGGGCATGCCGAAAAAAGTCGGGTCCTTTGACATTCATGTCATAGAGGCAGAGCTCTGGTCGATATGCCGCTACGCCTTGCCATGTTTCTCGCTGGATATCGTCGCGTGTTATATTCGTCTTCCTTCACCTTCAATCCTTCACATGTTGATTTTGCTGCCGTGGAACGGACTCCAGATGCCCCTGACGTTCTCGTTCAGACTCTTCACTGGTCGACCATCCAGCCTCCTGTTCTTCTCTCCTGTGCTGTTCCTTAACATCTCTGCCTTTTCCCTCACACCCTCATTTTGCAGGTTCCTCACACATATTGACCGCTGGGCGCCGTTGATGTAGTTTGCGATAATTACGGGGTGGTGGCGTGGCCGCGGGCTGACGGAGATTTCGATCTGAGGGTTGCGATTGGCGAAGGCGGGGAGAGAGGCTTTGAGGAAGGCGTTCATGCCTTTCGAGGACCCCCACCAGTTGCAGTAGTGGAAGGTGATGGACTTGCACGGCAGGACAAAGGCTCCTACGCCGTTCTGCGGTCGTGATTAGCATTCAGGATGACAAATGTCGGGACAAATGAACCCGCGAAAACATACCTGACCCTTTGCGACCGTCTTGATAGCCGAGAGAGGCATGTTGGCGGGCAATTGCGGTGGTGACGGCGGTGCTTTCACCAATCTCAAAGTCCAAAGTCGGGCCCAGATCTCACGTGCGGTGGTCACAGCCTAGGTTTGCGCTAGTGCGAACTCCGCGTCGCAGCTTCCTCGAACGCCCCAACTCCCAAACATCGACTTTCATCGTCGCGCCCTCCACTCCTCATATTCCAACTATTCCACATCGCCGTCTGGAGCGCATTCCAGAAACAAACTCGCCAACATGACGCATCTACTCCCCCCGATGCTGCTGAACCTGTTCGCCCCGCGGCCGCCGCTGCGCTGGGTCGAGCCTTCCGACCACGCGCCTGAGAAGCGCTGCACGCCCAAGATTGGCGGCATTGGCCAGTACATGGAGGCGCTGAGGGAGTACAAAGACAACGACGGCTACGTGCCCACCGACAGCTGGCTGCAGAAGCGCGATCGCAAGAAGCTCGAAAAGAAGGAGAAACAGGAGTATCTGCTTACCGAAGGGGTCAAGGATTGTACGACATCACCACGCGCGCTCGTTCGCTTGCGTGCGCAATTATTGTTTGCATCACTCACTAACATTATCTAGACAAACCCGTCGAAGATCCCAAAGTACAGGGCGACGCCTTCAAGACGCTGTTCGTTTCTCGCCTATCCTATGGCGTCACCTCCGATGACCTTGAGCGCGAATTCGGTCGCTACGGTCCCATCGAGCGCATTCGGATCGTTGAAGACGTCACCCAGCCCGCCGACGCGCCACCCAAGAAGCGAAAGCGCGGCTATGCTTTTATTGTCTTCGAGCGCGAGAAGGACATGAAGGCTGCATACAAGGAGACAGACGGTATCAAAATCAAGGATCGACGCGTGCTTGTAGATGTCGAGCGCGGCCGCACAGTCTCTGGATGGCGCCCGCGTCGCTTCGGTGGCGGTCTAGGCGGACGAGGCTACACCAAGGGCCCGTCTGCTCGCGGGCCAAGCGGAGGAGGCAGCCAATTTGGAGGACCTCCAGCCGGCCCTGGTGGCTTCGGAGCCCGCGGCGGTGGCTTCGGTGGAGGTTTCGGCGGACGAGGTGGTGGCCGTGGCGGCTTTGGCGGCGGATTCGGGGGTGACCGAGGGGGCTTTGGCGGTGGACGAGGAGGTTTCGGTGGCCGCGGTCGAGGTGACTTTGGTGGTGGTCGCGGAGGTATCGGCTACCAGTCCAACGGCTATGGACCTCCCGATGGCGCCCCTGCTGGTCCCCGTGGTCCACGAGGCGGTGGCTTTGGCGGCGACCGAGGAGGCGGGGGTGGATTTGGAGGCGACCGCGGTGGAGGTGGAGGACGATACGAAGACCGACGCGGCGGCGGTGGTGGTGGCTACGACCGAGGATCCAGCGGCGCTAACAACGAACCGCTCGGCAGCAGAGATCGATACCGCGACCGCGACGGTGGGTACGGTGGTGGAGGCCGCGACGACGGCTCGAGGAAGCGCGGCTACGAAGGCGACAGCTACGACGACCGAAGCCAGCGCCGCAGATACTAGGCCCGCTCGATGGCTCACGTATCTTCTGCAAGGGTTTGTCAAAGGTTACCTCCCCTTTCTTCGCCTCACCCTTTCTCGGCTCTGAGGGTAAGATCGAGTTTGTTCTGCTCTTGACGTTCGACCATTCAACACTGCGTTACAGGTCAGGATGGTAAGGGTTGTCGACGTGTCTCCTCTAGGCTTTCGATCGGTCATCGCATTCGCGTCGACTAGCACTCCACGTCTCGATCTCGACTCTTTGGTAAAGCAAAGGTACAGCGTCACCCTTTAGTCGACTACAGTCACGATCTTCATCACCCCAGGTTTCGCACAGGTTTGGTAGGCCGGAATGGGTAGGGCAAGGTGAACTTTCTTCCGCATGTTTTATTAGCTTTTCTTTCTTTCCAAATTATCTTCCTTGCTCGCGGTTTTTGCCTGGGTAGGTATTAATGTAAGTTACAAGCACGATGGTTCCAGTAGTGCAGAGACGTCAAGGTAAGGTTAACAGGTAAGGAGTTCGACTTCCT